CCCCCTTTTTTTTTTTTGCCCCGCTTCCCCTCGAGGGTCGCGTTTCCCTGCTGTCTGGGGCATGGAGGGAAGCGCTGGGTCAGTTTCCAGGTTTCGAGGAGTGGTTCCAACATGACACGGTGCCGGCTAATCAGCGCGAGGGCCGTAAGGGGGTTTCTAATTTGATTCCGTTGGACGGTCAGCCTGCTTAGTTCCGACTCGTTTGCCGAGCGGCCGTCGCGCAGCGGAAGGATGCTCGGTTTAGGGCTTGTGCTGCGCTCCCGGTCCGAGCCCTCGGAGTGCAAGGGACAGCTTTCTGCTGGTTTCAGTGAGCTCTGGACCTGTCGTTGGAGAAGTGTCCCGCTTGGCGTGGACTACTCGTTATTCTCCACACGTCATCTGGGAAGAGAAAAAGCGTCCTTCTTTGTGGTAGCTGGCACACAAAGTCTAGGTTTGCGTGGCAATAAAAGGCCAGTCGTTTCCCAGTTCCCTCTGGAATCTTGCAGAAGCACTAAACATCCTTGCTTGCTTAACGCGGGGAAACTGAGGCAAGTTTTAAAATCAAGGGTTGGGAATGGAACAGGGGTTAAATGTGAGTGCGACCAGGGCAGCTTCCAAAACCAGCTGGGGGAACTGAAATGTTGTCGCTATTTTAAAATTTTGATTTCTATTTCAGGATCCGTTGCAAAATGTGAAAACGAAGGGGAAGTTCTGCAGATACCGTTTATCACAGACAACCCTTGTATAATGTGTGTTTGCCTGGTAAGTGTGGATTTCAGATAATAAGAACGTTCCGGCCCATACTAAAAGTAACTGCACGGAGAGGGGAATATTTCACATAATCCAATCTCGGGTGCCTCTGACGCCTTTCTGTAACACGAGGTTATCTCGGAGCTGAGCTAATGGAAAGTAACCCAATCCATGGTCTGGCAGTCATTTCTTTGACTTTAAAACTCTGGGGCGCAACATTGTTCCGTGACTTTAATATGACATTGTGACACCGCCTTTGCCACATGAATTTGGAGGGAGAACTGCTCTCACGAAGCCAGGGGCGCACACAGAAGTCTCTGCGGGTAGCTCAGCAGAGAGGGAGAAAGGTGAGGTTTGGGAGCGCGGCTGCTTCGAGCTGCCACGTGCTGAGTCTCACCGGGCAGTGGCCGAGGAGCGGCGCGAGGGGAAGGCTGCAACATGACTGCGTGCACGGTAGTGGGACGGTGGGGGAAGCACGAGTGATGCTTTCGTCAGAGTGCTTTGTCCCAAGGGTGACGCTGCCCGCTGTGCTGGGAATTCAGTGGTTAACAACGTCACTAGCGCGCGTTTCGGGGAGAAACGTTCCCTTTCCTTGTAACCTTGCTTCGGAGTTAAGCATTTTAGGAGCAATTCAGCTGGACAAGCCAAGGCTTAGGAGATACTGAAAACCAGTTGTTCTAAATAAAACTTCGTAGAATATGTTTAAAGGAAAGCCATAAACCTTAATTTGCTGTTGAACACAAAGAGAAGTACAGACCAGAAAGAACTACATCTTAGGTTTTGGAAGTTATAGAGCAGCTAAATGTACAGAACGCGTTCTACTTTAGGACTGAAATATCAAGACACCCTTTCCCCCCTTCTGTTATTGCTATTAATATTATTAGTATTAGCCAGCGTTATTATAAGTCTGTAAAAGTCTTACTGTTTTGACTGCCTTTGAGAAGCTGGTTTTGGCAACTGTAGGAGCCTGATCTTGAGGCCCTCGAGGCTGATGTATATCGCCGCACGGAGTTCAATAGATTTTAAGTGAGACTCAGTGATAACTTTTTAGCTACTAGTGATAAAGCATGAGTTATTGATTTTTCTGAGTAGAGGGGGATGGGGAAAAGAAGGAGCACGGGATGTGGTGAGTAAAGAAATCAAAGGGAAAACAAAAAAAGAGATGAAGCTGTGTTTTATCATGGATCACCTTCCCAAATATGTCTGCCACCACTCTGGCTAATGGAAGGTGGTGTTAACCAACAAGGAAGCAATTTATCTGTGCAGGAGCAGAAGTTCAGTCGTGGGCATCAGGGCAATAATGCATCAGGGTAAAATACTTGTATTTATAGATCTCTCTAGACCTTGGCTTTGTTAAATCAATGAGCACCCTTTTAGTGCATGGACATGAAGAACTGCAAAAAACATTGGATGTAAGACCTCTAAATCTCTCCGGTTTGTAGGGCATGCTGTAGTCAAATGGCAGCTGGGGCCATTTGGCTCCCCTCTATGCAAGGAGGACACCACATTTTATTAAGAATGTGGATGCCTAGTGAGTTACTGCAGTTACCTCCACTGGATACACTCTATTTTATTTCTACCAAAGGATAAATGCGATCTCTGTTTCTTGAGTTGAAAACTGGGAGACCGGGTAGAGAAGGAGGAAACCAGTCTGCAGATACTGGCTTTAATGCTGTGCGGCGTCCAAAGCAATGACTTATTGGACAGCCCATTGCCGAAATCTTTGTTCAGGCCTGCCACGAGGGAAAAGATCAATTTTAAGAGATCTGGGGAGAGCAGAAACAGAAGCAGCGATGTCGTGATTTGTGACCAGGAGAGAAGAGAGAACCAGGTTTCCTTACGTCCAACTAGAAGTATTGATTGTTTAATAGCGATTCAGTGAGGAACTTTGGAAGACTGATCATATTCTTCAAGGGCAAACCTGGTGCATGTTCATACCATAGGAAGTGAGCAGCTAAAAAGAGAGCTTAATCAGCTGTTCCAGGAAGGGAGCAATTGCTGTCCAGGAGAGGACAGAAAATTCAACAGAGAGCACTTGTGTTAAAAACACCAGTAAAGCGAGTAACTGAAATATTGGATGGGATGATGGCAGGCCTGTCCTAGCAGTGATGCATTTCCATGACTGCAAGCTGCTGTAAATAACTGCACAAATTATGGAAATCTGCACGCGTCTGGGAAGAGGAGGAATATCTAAGTAGCTCCCTTCCAGGGCTTTCCCCGTCTCACAGACGAGAGGAGACAGAACTGAAATGCAGGAACCAAATCATCAAGTGTTTGACAGAACTGACTGCGCAGGTTGTGTCCTGTGGAGCATGGGGATGCATCCCAGCCAAGGGCAGAGAGAGAGGCGAGATAAGCAAAGCGGTCTCCAGCTTTCTCTTAACAGGCTAAATCAGCTGGGAGGGCAGAGCAACAGGTAGTTCTTTAAGAGCAAATATGGTAAAAACTGGAAACTCATAGGTTATGAGTAAGCTGCAATAATGCAGTGGAGACTGCAAAGAGAAATTACAAATGCAATTCCTTATACACCAGTAAGAAGTCATGGTAGGAAGACCAAAACCAAAAGTTGTCTTTTCTCATTGATTAGCAGAGACAGGACGGACTGGTTTTCATGGCAGGAACCATGAACAGGGACAGGGCAGACAGAGCAGAGACCGGTTTCTGGGGACGCTGCTTTAATAAAGCTTCCAGCTTTCCTTTTAGAGTTCTTGGTAACGCACACCCCTGAATATTGAATACAAAAGGGGCACCGATGGGGATCTGCTAGAGGCAGCCAACTCTGGCTACCAAACAAGATGAGTTCAGTCTTGATCATCTGCTGCAACGTGTGGAAAGAGAAGTCGTGGTGATATGGGAATTCAGACTGAGGGACGTGTGCTGGAGATTTTGTATATAGTAGATATTAAATCATTCACTTCTGAAGAACAGGTAGTGCTTTTCTAATAAAAAGGCACTGCGCCCACCGTGACATAACTCTGTTTTGGACTTCATTACTTGTCAAAATGAAATGTGGTGGAGTGCATGAAACAGCACTGATCCTTGCCCTTACTATGGGGAAACAGGTAAGACTAAAAGCATGTACATGTGTGTGTGTAAATGTATGCTGTAGCTCTGTATGCAAGAACTACCAGCTGAACAGGCCACTATGGCTGAAATCTAGAGTTCCCTAATTTGTAATTTATACATCTCTACTTTATGGTCTTAATAACGCCCATAAAAACGGTCATTTTTAATGTCAGTAGGACAATAGCGAGCTTTTATGATTACAACACTTCAGCAATGGTATACTGCTGTCCAACTAACCATCTCTAAGCACTTAATAAACATGGATGAATTTGATCTCCAAAGAACTGGTCATTAATTACAGCTGACTGCAAGAATTGGCTGGTTTTATTTTTATTTTTTTTGAAGAGAAAAAACATCAGAGTCAAAGAAAGATTGTAGTTTATGCACAAGGAATTTCTTGTAGGACTCTGATGAAAGCTCAGGTCTTCTAACTCCCAGTCTAATGGTTTGACTACGAAGCCATCCCTTCTCACTTTTTTTCTTCACTTTACCAGTGGATGTGGGTGGCATGGTCACAGTATAAACACACTCATTTTCTTTTTTGTCTCTCTGACAATGGGCAGCCTTGCACAGACGCCAGGTTTTTGGTGTGTCTGCTCTCCTGAGCTCGTTCTGAGTCATGGATGGGCAAAGGCAAACTCAAGCTCACTTCATGATCCAGAGGTTTTGAGACCTGTGATTTATGACTTGGTGTCGCTATCTGCAAAGCGCTGTTAGAGCTAGTCTGCTTTGGTCTTCTGCCCGCTTCCGCTTCCGCTTTGAATGTCTGTGGTTCCGCATCTCTGAGGAGATACGCTGCCTCCGGGAGGCTGCCGTGCCACCTGGCTTTCCGTAGGGTTGGAGATGCTGGAGTAGCACAAAGCAGTCTGAAGGCAGCTGAAGGTACCTGTAGTCACATGCGTTCACCTTATATGCTGTTAAATGCAGAAACTGGAGAAAGCCCTGGCATCCATAGTGCTTAGAGCTAATGGGTAAAACAGAAACACAGAGGTTGCACTGGGAAATTGTTGTCCTGAAGCTAGGTCACGTAAAAAGTGCAGGCAGGCCTGCTGGTGAAGTGCCCGCCTAGTGTGCAGTGGTTGACTGGCCCACTGCACCCATGCAAGTCATTATAGCTAAAGATTTCTCTGATGGAAGGGGTGGAAAACCCTCTAAGCTGCAGCAAGCTTTGTATCAGAGGAAGGGGAGCAACTGAAAGGAAATACTAGATGTGACTTGTAGTAACAAGAACTAAGTAAACAAACTCTATGAAATAAAAACATTGTTAAAAAAAGAGAAGCTCTTATTTCAGATAATGATGTGGCCCTTGACACTACAAAAAAAGGATGTTAAAGAACATGTAGTTGTGAAATTATTTTATGCTGAGCGGTCAATAGTAAGAAAATCTCATGTCCTGCTGTCTTCTGAAAATCAAAGTAGTGAAACTGTGGGTAATGGAGTGAAAAAAAGTTTGGGTTTTAAAGAACTTGTCTGAATTGGCATGATGATTATAGGTATAAATATATAATCTTGATGGTATTCATAATGGAATTATATTGATTCAGTTTGAGAAATGGATTCTTTTATTTCAGTTATTAAATGCTTTATGACCACGAGTGATTATAACTATGCTACCTAATGCAAAAATTTTCTTCTAAAAATATTCTCACACGTGTGTGGAAAAAGGAGTTGATTTCAATCCACAGGAGCATTTCACACAGCTTGTGCAGTTTGAGTAACCCAGACGTGTCATGTGTGATGCAGTCAGGTCTTTCTAGTTCAGATGTGAAAGTTACAGGCTGAGGGTAGCGGAGGCATGGGTGAATTTCTGTTTCTTCTGAAACAAAGCTTCATAAATGTGAAAACTTACCACATTTTGGTAAGTTTTGGATGTTTTGTAGCACAGATACATATTGAGGATTTGAAATGTTAGGGGGACAATGCTATTAACAGAATATTGGGAGAAC